CTTAACCGACTGCGCCACCCAGGCGCCCCGAGAGGTCACTTTTTAAAAGTATAAATTAAGAATTTTAATCTACCTTTCACAGCATTTTAAAATCATATATCACTTAAGGCAGTGGTTCAAAAATAATATTGCAATCTTTAGTAACTTATCTCTACAAAATACACAAGAGAAAATACAGTGTCTACAATAAATCTGCACAGTAAATGAAATTTGAAGCAAAAAGAAATGATTAGAAAAAATACTCATTCACATCAACTGATAGCAACAAAATGCATGAAATACCAAAGGTCTTACCTTAAATCTCTTGTCTTGCAATACTTTCTTGATGGCAACCAGTTCTCCTGAATCACAAAGTTTGGCTTGATATACCACACCAAATGACCCATTTCCAATCACTTTAGTGTCTGTATAGCTGACTTCTTGTGGCCTATCGGGACCCTGCCCAGGAGTTGCCACCACTGTGGTTACCTTGCTGCCATCTTTGTCTCCTAAAAGAAACAAGAGACAGAAAAATGAGAACTGTAAAGAATTAAACAGACAAAATTGCTGAAGTACACAATAGTTTACATAGTAAACTATGTTTTTTACTACAAATCATTTTTAAATGCTCATCTTAGTTTATTGTATAGAATTACTTCAACTATTTGTTTCAATTTGTAAGTAACTTTTTAACCACCATTTATTTAGTCATTCTGTAGACTAGACATCATGCTTAGTTTACATATGGGGATTTATTTAATGAAAACAATCACCCCATGAAGTATATAATACTGTTTCCATACAAAACTAATGGAAATAATGTTAAATTTGCTGAAGGTCAAAAGTCAAATGGTGGACCCTGGGTTTGAATCCCATCTGTTCTTTCTAAAGAAGGCCCTAGTTCTTTTCTCAAGGCTTCCTTATTTTACTTGAAAATAAATACTACTGAAAACATCTAAATATGTTGACTCTATTCAGACCATTCTGCCTTTAGGAAGGTAAGGCTTTGAGTTTTTCTTTCTCTGCATCTTACTTCTTTTTAAGAAAATCAACTATCTCTTAGAGAAAGGTCAAATGGGGAAAAGGAACATGGGAAAGAGTATTAATTTGGAGTAAGAAAAGAAAAACCAAACCTATTCTGAACTGAGTGAGCCTCATTCATAAGTAGCTCACTGGTTCTGTGGTCTCTGCCCACTCAATAGCTCTTGCCTTATCTTCTGTGCCTTCCCACCCTTCCCAGTAACAATCTAAAGACTCTTCAATTCAAGCTCAAGAGCCACCTCTTATTGCCTAGGCAGAGTTCACAATCATCTTGGGTCTCTGAACTCTTAAACTATTCTAAACCATACTATGCTACCTAGAACCTGATTCTAAAGAGTTTTAAATTGTTCTTTTAGTGATTTCAGAATACACAGAGATTCTACTGAGTACAATCATTGGTAAGTAGCAAGTATGACTTGTGCTTCTCTCTTCCCTGACAAATCTGAAACCAAATCTCAGTACATCCAAGTCCTTAGGCTCACTGACTAAACTGCACTTTTTCCGTTTGTTTCTTCTTCTACTCTTCCATTATATCAATTTTATTTGTATGATGCTAACTGAATTCATACTAACCTAATAAAAGAAAAAAATGTAGTTTTTAACTCTAGATACCAAGCCAAGATTTTGAAGTATTCACTTGAACCTCACATATAAAAAAATATATATTAATCTCATTTTCCAATGGTTTGAGTGTTTTTTCCCAAAATAAAATTACCAGGTAAATGAATATCCAAATGTTAGTAGCACATTTAACCAATATGTATAGCCATTTTAGTTCACAAAGGTACTAATATTAAAAAAAAAAAAAAAAAAAAAAAAAAAAAAAAAAAAACACACACACACACTAAGTGGTATCTGTGACTAATTAATGCTCCTGTTTATAAGGCAGCCTTCCTGACAGACACAAAAGCAATGAAGGATTCCTACATAAGATAGCAAGGTAAATTACAGGCAGTCTACATTATATATTATATCATGGCTAACTACCTTAAATATGTAGGGTTTTGGTTCTAAGGTATAACGCCCAACAGATATGACAGCACAAATCTAACACCACTTGTAGAAAGGTAACTCAAATCTTGTCAACACCAACATTTTTATTCACAACAGTATTATATGTACTTTAAATACATGCAAATCCCAGCACAAGTCAATACATATACAGTAGTTCTCAATGCTTTCAAATGATCCCTTCACATTTCACTTCCTAGTAAAATAAATCTAATATATTTGCAAAACCTAGTTTAATCAAATCTCAATTCTAAATCATCATGCTCAATTCCCCCAAATATTCCATATCACTTTCACTTTTGAGCATGTTAATGTTAACTACAACTTTTCAGGTTGACTATAAACCTTAATGTAAGTTATTTTCTTCTTCATTTGTAAAATAAACCTATCTTTACTTGTAACATTCCTCTAAAGACAGAATCACAGTCTTCTGACCTTAAACTCAAAATGAAGAGATCTAGAAGGTTAGATTCAGGAAAGATTAAAATTCAAGGTACTGAACACATTTTCTTACAATCCAATTGTCCAAAGAAAATAAAAAACAGAATTGATTTCAAACAGTCCAACCAACTCTTCCCTAGATCATCCAAGTCAAAACCGTATCACCAAAAACTATATATTTCAAGGACTATGAATAATTTCACTGAACAGGTTGCTTGCAAAATCTCACACGTCTAATCCACAAAACAAAGCATCATTATTTTTAAAATAAATTAACAGATTTTAAGAATGGCTGTTGCATTCCACAACTTTAACTGAAAACAAAAGCTGTCTGAGGCATAAACAAAAATTATGCTTTTCTACTGTATAACCATATTTCAATAAAGAAAACAGTAGCCACAGCTTTGTACTTGCTTTCAGTAGAGAACTTAAAACAATATAAGCATGTGTAATGACTTTCCTTACTTGCCTCTTTAGGTTGCATTTCTCCACATTTCAGAAAAATGGTTTGTTTCAGGGTTTCAAGAATCAGCTATGAAAGATATCCATCAGAACCCTGAGATTTTTTTTTTTTTAGCTTCATTTTAGAGATGGAGAGATAGTGTGAGAGTGCGCACGCGCGTGAGTGGGGGAGGAGCAGAGAGACAGGTAGACACAGAATCCAAAGCAGGCTCCTCCAGGCTCTGAGCTGTCAGCACAGAGCCCAAAGTGGGGCTCAAACTCATAAATTATGAGATCATGACCAGAACTGAAGTCAGATGCCCAACCTACTGAGCCACCCACGCGCCCCAGAACCCTGGGATTTAAAATCTCTTCAAATCAACTATTAGGCCTGGGTAATGCCTAACATCTAATCGTGCTTTTTCTCATATGCAAATTATAATGCATAAATGAAGTAATTCTGCAAAAATATTAAAGCAGGGTAGAAAGATAAATAGATAGGTACTACAGATGCTATCACTGGAAGAGACTTTTAAGTCTTAAGGCCTCTTAGTGTTAAATTATGATTGGATATGGACAAGGACCAATCCTTTCACCTTCTTATATATCTAGTTAAAAAAAAAAAAAAACGACTTACTATCTCAGCAGAAATTGAAGATTCACTCTATTCTCTTTCGAGCAGTTACAGAAAATGCTGAGAACTCTTATGGGCTACATTCTCTACTAATATGAAATCTCTAAGTATAACACGAACGATGGTTCTCAGGCTTTCTACCTCAAGCATTCTGGAATTTCTATTCAGAATGCTTCATCGGAGATCCGAAATAGCAGAGCTGTAAAAAATGGCAAGATAATACTGGGGATGACTTGGCATGAGTATTAGGAGCACATGGGGCAGTCAGCAGCTAATGTGCCAAGGAAAAGCATGCCACCATTTGGCATTGTAATTTGCCGACTTAGCAATAAAATAGCTGTATAAAATTTCACTGTATATCCATCCAGTTCATTGTTTTATCTACTCTAATACTTACAATAAATGTAGGGATACATTATAATAATGTTTACTATGCAAATGAGGAAAGTAAAACTAAGAGATGAAAGCTCTGAGTAGCAAGAATTCTTCCCTTGCCTCATCCTCTGCTATATTTTACAACCTTCCTACTACAGCTGAAAGACTTTAACTTCATATACTATTGCCCCCCCCCGCAAGAAGCAGATGTTTCCGAAAATATAAAAAGATCAGCTCCAAAGTAGTAAGAAATAAAAGAATAAATGATAATCTGTTACAGATTTCAGGCCTCAATCATTCACTTATTAATAGCTAAAGAGCTATTTTCCAAAATACTTTGGTAACCTTCGATTTCAAAACTTATCCCAAAGCAAAAGCACATGGAAAACAAAAATGTAAAATAATCGATTCAGTGATGTTCAAACAATTTAACATTTGCTACCAGAAATTGTATAATTTTCCATCTTAGCAACAGAGCATTATAAAGCACTGCTACCAAGAGGCCGAAATCCTGATGAAAAACTGGAAAGCAATAAATCTCCCTCATTTAAAAAAAAAAAAAAGTCACCACTCTGCCCAATGCTAAATTTCTCAGAATGCATGGCATAGTGAGTCTCATACCAATTACAACAAAACTAGTCTCCAAAAATGCAGTACAACAACAGAACAGTTGGGAACAGCTTAGCTCCAGGAGGCTTTGTCTCCTGCCAGAGGACTCCTGGGATCCTCTATTACAATTAAAATTCACTCAGGAGGTATAAACTTCCTATTATAATTAGAAAATAGAATTAAATCCCCTACTCTTTACCACAATAAATAAATCTTAAATATATAAACCACAATAGACTCCTTATAAAGCAACGGAAAGATGATATACAAGAGAATAACCACTTTCTATTGAAGGCTGTTATATATATAGAATACAATTTTTTAAAAGCCTTAGGCATATCCTAAAATAATATGTGTGACCTAGTATCCAACCTCTCAAACATAGGTTTGTACCTTGTAAGCAACAGCTCATGGTTACATTTTTTTAAGCATCCAAGTGTGGAGTGAGCATCCCCAAACCGAAAGGCCACTTCAAGCATGTTTAAATATTTAGGAGGTATCTGACACTGACATCCTAATTTTCTATGAATGATAAATCTCATTCATATTTTAGCCATTTGATTTGATGTTTAAGATTTAATTTTTTTTAATGTTTATTTATTTTTTAAAAAAAAATTTTTTTTTTCAACGTTTATTTATTTTTGGGACAGAGAGAGACAGAGCATGAACGGGGGAGGGGCAGAGAGAGAGGGAGACACAGAATCGGAAACAGGCTCCAGGCTCTGAGCCATCAGCCCAGAGCCTGACGCGGGGCTTGAACTCACGGACCGCGAGATCGTGACCTGGTTGAAGTCGGACGCTTAACCGACTGCGCCACCCAGGCGCCCCAATGTTTATTTATTTTTGAGAGGGGAGGTGCAAGGGAAGGGCAGAGAGACAGAGAGGGAGACACAGAATCTGAACCTGGCTCCAGGCTCCCACTGGGAGCCCAAACCCCATGAACCATGAGATCAAGAC